ACCCAGGGGGCAGAGGTTGCAGTGAGCCGAGATTGCGCCATTGCACTCCAGCCTGGGTAACAAGAGCAAAACTCCGTCTCAAAAAAAAAAAAAAAAATAGAAAAATTAGCTGGGAGCGGTGGCATGTACCTTTAGTCCCAGCTACTCAGGAGGCTGAGGCAGGAGAATCGCTAGAACCTGGGAGACAGAGGTTGCAGTGAGCCGAGATCATGCCACTGCACTCCAACCTGGGTGACAGAGTGAGACTCTGTCTCAAAGAAAAAAAGGCACTTGGGAAAATTAAACTGCATGAGGAATGGTATGGCAGGCAGAGTAACAGCTGCCAAAGATGTCCATGTACAAGTGCCAGAACCTGTGCATAAATCATCTTACATGGCAAAAGGGATGTTGCAGTTATGATTGAGTTAAGAATCTTGAGATAGGGAGATTACTCTGGATTACCATGGTGGGTCCTTATGTAACCGCAGGGGTCCTTGTACATTGAAAGAGGGAGGCGGGAACATCCATGTAAGAGTGAGAGGACATGAGGAACATTTGACTGGCCATTGTGGCTTTGAAGATAGAAGAAAGGACCATGAGCTAAGGAATGCAACAGCCTCTAGAAGCTGAAAAAGGCAGAGATGGCTTCTTCCCTAGAGCCTGCAGAGAAAGTGCTGCTCTGCTGACAGACGCCTTGACTGTAGCCTTACTGAGACCCATTTTGCATTTCTGAGCTCCAGAACTGGTAATAAATAGAAGATAATAAATGTGCATTGTTTTCAGTTACGGAGTTTGAGGTCATTTGTTGCAGAAATTGTAGGAAACTAACACAGGTGGTCAACTCAATGCATTTTTGGGATAAAGGGAAGAAGGGAGAGAGGAAGGGAAGAGTTTAAATCTAGGGAGGCTGAACCAGTTGAAGGAGATGGTCTCTAAGGTCTGCTACAAGCTAATAGCCTCTGATGCTGTGTGTGGGAAGGAAAGCCTCATGTTAGTCAATATTTACTCAAGGGGAGTCTTAGCCTCTGTGCTGTTCCTTACGCTGCTTTATTATGAGCCACCTTTAACCTTTATTTTAAAACACTCAAAATCAAATACACTGCTGGCTCCAGGGCTCTTGCAAACATATGGAGTGGAGATCCCCATGGACACAGGAGAGACATTTTAAATGTAGATTATGTACTTTAATATGAGCCTGGCTCCAGCACAGTAATCCTTCGTGCCATGCAGCAGACCTCAAGGGAAGCTATGATCGGTTTGGTGGGATCACCCAGTCATCTCTGTACACAGTCTGCACGGCTGCGCCCTGCACTGCCTGACGGTTAAAACAGGATGGAGCTGAGCCAAACTTTGTTTCTCAGCCTCTGCCCTAGATTCTTCTGGGTGCCTCCCTGGTGGGCAGGCCCATGGAAGAGGGGATAAAGGCAAAGTCCAAGTTCACAGCTGGCTGTTGGGTGCCACAGTGTCTGGGGATGTTCAAATACCCTAGCAAGACTTGTTTGATCTGGTTTTTTAAAGTTTCTCTCCAGCAAAACCAATATGATCCTTGAATTCTCTCTTTCTGCAACAGCAGAAGTTGCTCTCTGGATGGAAATGCCTCATTACTTAAAAAAAATTTTTATTTTTATTTTTATTTGAAGTTCCAGGGTACATGTGCAGGATGTGCAGGTTTGTTACGTAGGTAAATGTGTGCCATGGTGGTTTGCTGCACCTATCAACCCGTCACCTAGGTATTAAGCCTGCATTAACTATTTTTCCTAATGCTCTCCCTCCCCCAGCACCACCCCTCAGAGGCCCCAGTGTGTATTGTTCCCCTCCCTGTGTCCGCGTGTTCTCATTGTTCAGCTCTCTCCTATAAGTGAGAACGTGTGGTGTTTGGTTTTCTGTTCCTGCATTAGTTTGCTGAGGATAATGGCTTCCAGCTCCATCCATGTCCCTGCCAAGGAAATGATGTTGTTGCTTCCTATGACTGTATAGTATTCCATGGAGTATATGTACCGTATTTTCTTCATCCAGACTATCATTGATGGGCATTTGGGTTGATTACTTGTCTTTGCTGTTGTAAATAGTGCTGCAATAAACATACATGTGCATGTTTCTTTGTAATAGATTGATTTATATTTGGGGGGATATATACCCAGTAATGGGATTGCTGGGTCAAACGGTATTTCTGGTTCTAGATCTCTGAGGAATTTCCACACTGTCTTCCACAATGGTTGAACTAATTTACATTCCCATCAACAGTGTAAAAGCATTCCTATCTGTCAGAGGTCTAATATCCAGAATCTACAAGGAATTTAAACAAATTTACAAGAAAAAAACAAACAGCCCCATTAAAAAGTGGGCAAAGGACATGAACAGACACTTTCTAAAAGAAGACATTCATGCGGCCAACAAACAGATGAAAAAAAGCTCAACATCACTGATCACTAGAGAAATGCAAATCAAAACTACAATGAGATGCCATCTCATGCCAGTCAAAATGGCAATTATTAAAAGCTCATTCCTTATTTTTGCCTGCACTGCCTCTGCCAGGAATGCTCCACCCAAATGGGGTATTCAGATAATGAGTCCTGTCTCTCCTCCGAGTATCAGCTTTCAGATCTCCTGAGAGAGGCCACCTGGATCTCTCTAGCTAAAGTCAACTCTGTACAGTCCTTCTCTTGTACACCAGGTTTGTCTTTCCAGGACTTGCCATTGTTGGAATGCTGCAGTGTATATGATTTGTTTATGGAGCTCTTGCTCCTGCTTCACCTGTTTCCACTAGAATGTAAGCTCCTTGAAAGCAGGGACCTCTTCACTCTTGAATGCTTCACTCTTATCTTCAGGCCCTTCAACGTGTTTTGTTCCTGCCCAATAATCACATTCTCATTTCTCAACTGCCACGTTAAGGGCCGAATTACACTCATCCCATTCCAACCCAAACTCATATCTTGAAGTCCTCACCTCCAGTACCTCATCATATAGCTGTATCTGGAGATAAGGTCTTTAAAGAGGTAATTCAATTAAAATGAGGTCATTAGGATGGGCCCTAATCCCATATGACAAGTGTCCTTAAAAGAAGAAGAAATTTGGACATAGACCATTACAGAGGGAGGACCGTTTGATGACACAGAAAGAAGATGGCCATCTACAAGCCAAGAGAGAGGCCTGAGGTAGGTCCTCCTCTCACAGTTCTCAGGAGGAAGCCGCTCTGCTAACACCTTGACCTTGGACTTCTAGCCTCCAAGAACTGTGAGAAAATCCATTTCTGTGGTTTTAGCCACCCAGTCTGTGGGACTTTGTTACAGCAGCTCTAGCAAACTCATACACATCATCACAAAGTGGACCAGGAACTTGCAAAAAAATACTCAGTGAAATGTCCATTACCTTATACATGAAGGCACTAGCAAGAAACGGACACTATTGTCAATTTCCATAATTTGAGGTGAGTTTAATAAAAGGACTATCAGGAAAGATGTGGGCAGGGCATGGGGCAACATAGGGAGGGTTGGTACAGCACTGTGGGGCAAGCAACATGGGGGAACCAGTACCACCCTGTGCTGCCAGGGAGAGGGAAGGGGGCAGATAGCAGGGAGCCGAAGAGAGAGAACATTTTGTGGAGAGAGTTGCCTGGATAAAAGCTGTGGTCTTTGGGAGATCAGCCAGCTTGCAATGAGGCAGAAGGGAGGGGGCAGGGAAATAAATACCGATGCCTGACTCTCTTCTCTCCCACGCCAGGCAAGGCTCACAAATGGCAGAACTCACTGATGTGGTCCACATGGTCTAGCCTTCTACAGCAGGAGCAGGGTAAAAAGGGGCAGAGAGTGGGTCTGGAGGGCTACGTCGAAGATTTCACTATAACACCTTCTTTCCCCAACTATTGTCAAAGCATGTCTCTTCCACTTGCTAACTCCTACAGAGCGATGAAGCAAATGCACTTTCATCTTCACCTCCTTCGGGCTAGGAATGCCATTTCTAAACAACGCTCTCAGGATTAAATTCCACCGCAGATGGCCACATGAGTCTATTTATTGAGTTTTACCAAAGCTTTATTGATAGCATGTTGGAGCAGGATAGCACAATCTCAGTCCTGCCTCACCCTGGCTCGAGAGATTGCCTTCCCTTATTATTCTCAGGCAAGAATAATCTACAAGTTTGATGTAAATAAGATGCATCAGAAATGCTTCATTTATCAATACCCGGGAAGATTCAGAAATAGAAAGAGTGGGTGGCTAATGTTTGCTGAGCACCTATTAAGTGTCAGACAGTTAACTAGCTTAATTATTGCAAGAATTATGAAGTCAGCCCAGGCTTGGTGGTGTGGGCCTGTAGCCCCAGCTATTTGTGAAGCTGAGGTGGAAGGATTGCTTGAGTCTAGGAGTTTGAGACCAGCCTGAGCAACATAGCAAGATCCCTGCCTCAAAAAAAAAAAAAAAGAATTATGAAGTGATATTATTATGCCAGCTTCACAGATGAGGACTCAGGCATAGCCAGCAAGTTAGCAGAGCTGGGATTGGAGCTCCAGGGCCCCTCACTCCAGCATCTTCTTCCTTCCCCATCCCAGATGTCTTTCAAGGAAGTGAAATGACTCAAAAAAGTGATAACAAGTATGGTTAGAAGCTCAGAGTAATAATAATGCCGGATACATATTGATATTTACCATCTGCCTGGGTACTCTGATTTACACAGTTATTCCATTAAAGCCTCAAAACCACCCTAAAGAGGTTTATGCTATTTTATCTCCATTTTTAAGATGAGGACCTGGAGTCTTAGAGGGGTTCAGGGACTTGTCCCAGCTAAGACCTAGGTTCTCAATTCAAACCCCAGATAACCTGGCTTTAGAGGCCAAGTTCTTCATAAGAATTGGAACTACAAAGAATGCAGAACCCAGGACCAGGAAGGCCATCAAGGGGATTTGGTGGTTTGCTGGAAGGGGATTTCAGCACTGGATGGCCAAGACTCAAATCTAAATGTATCAGTTACTGCTCTGCAGTGGTGTGGGGGAGGGGGGTGCGGATGGCAAATTGCTTCACCTCGCAGAGTTCCGGTTTCCCAGGCTCTCAAAAGGACATAAAAATATCTACCACACAGGGTTGTTGTGGGCATCAGCTGATGCATCAGTGTTCTCTCAGATGATTGGCTGTCGTTTCTCCTCCTCCCTTGTTTCTAAGACCAGCAAAGCCAAGTTCTGCAGCGGGGCCGTGTGACAGCTCTCCATCTTCCTGCATACATCTCACTCAGATGAAGTCCTTTCTCGCCCTCTAAACAGCTGGCCAAGGATGAGTCACCACCACAGGAGAGCCATATCCTAGAGAATGAAAGGGGAGTACATTGCAGGCAGAAAAAAAACCATCTTGCAGAAGGGCACAGAGATACAGCAGAGTATGGAATGTGTGGGAACAGTAAGTTGTCTGGAGCACTAAAGCATGCAGAATATCTTAATCCCAAAACCTGAGGCTGAAAGATACATAGTAACTGGATTTTGAAAGTTCTCAGTGTTGTCTGGAGAACTCCTACTCATTTTCCAAGGTCCATCCCAAAGAAGGAAAGATAGAGCTAGTTATAAGTGGATGCAAAGCATTCCGAGTGGAGCAATCCCAGGAGCTGGGGCCAGCAGGGTGTTTGCGGACCAGCTTTTGAAAGGCCAAGCCCTTGTGGTGTTTCCACAGACATTCTTCACCCATTGCCATCCATCGCACATGTTATCTTCTGTGTGATAGGTATTCCAGCTCCCCCAGGTAATCTACTTAATCTCTTCTGCTCACTTTTCTGTGCTCTGTCGCTCTTCTAGTGTTATCTGTGTTGTACTGTAAAAGCTTGTTCCCATGACTGGCTCCTCTACCAGGCAGTAAGCCCCATGGTGGTAGTGGGGGCACATAGTAGTCATCTGCGTGTTCTGCTCACCTAGCACAGAGCCTAGATGACAGGTATTGCCAGTGACCTACCCAATATCCATCCTTCCCATCTTACTTTCTAATAGAATCCCAGTGGGGCAACATGCTTAATTAATTAACGATGTTTGCGTCCCAGACTCCCTTGAAGCTCAGATGCCATACGACCCAGTTTGGGCCCATGAGATGCAAGTTGAACTCTACAGGGTGAGCTTCTAGTAAAGCTGTTGTTTTCCTGATGAAAGGTTGGTCCCGGGGGCTCTGTACCTTTGGCCCTCATTTCCAACCACCTTTATCCCATCTTCCTACCTAGAACCTAAGACTCCACACATACAGGTGGAGCTGTCATCTTGAGACCAGGAGGATGCAAGACACACCGGGGATAGCTGGGTGGATGCCTGGAGGGATCCTGAGTCCTCAGAACCTCGCTGAGCAGCTGCTGCAGCCTGGGACTTCCCTCGTCTGGATGGTTGTTATATCTAAAATATAATCCCCAGTTTGGTGAATACACTGGATGGGCTTTTGCTATGTGTAAATGCAAAAGTATAATGTAAAAATGTGAATGGGCTAAATGCTACACCTTGGCACATAACCAATGCTTAGGGAATTTTGATGATCCAGTTGAATGGCCAGCTCTCCCTCTGTGCAGCTTAGGCTGCTCAGCCTCCAGTGGCCCAATAAAGAGCCATAAGGGATGTATGACTTTGATGGACTCCTTCTTGGGTTAAAAAAATTCTCAGGTGGTCTCTTTATCCTCTTTTATTTTTTCTGAGACAGAGTTTTGCTCTTGTTGCTCAGGCTGGAATGCAATGGCACAGTCTTGGCTCACTGCAACCTCCACTTCTGGGTTCAAGTGATTCTCCTGCCTCAGCCTCCCAAGTAGCTGAGACTACAGGGGTGTGCCACCAAGCCAGGCTAATTTTTGTATGATTTTGTAGAGATGGGGTTTCACCATGTTGGCCAGGCTGATCTCGAACTCCTGACCTCAAGTGATCCACCCAGCTCGGCCTCCAGAAGTGCTGGGATTACAGGCTTGAGCCACCGCACCCAGCATCTCTCTATCCTTAATGTAGCAAGGACTCCAGGGCTTTCTCCTTCTGGGCACCTTTCTTTCTTAGAAGAGGCTAATTTTGGAGACCATTTCTAACTAGTTGATATAAATTTTGGGGAAATCTGTGAAACTGTGGCGTGGGTAGAAGCATTGACTTTGGAATCGGTTCGACCATTTGCCTTTTCTTTCTTTCAACAAATGCGTATGGATGGGCTGGAGGTGTGTGAGCATAAACAGTCCTTCTTAAAGAACTTAGAGTCTAGTGGAAGAGCAGAGCTGCACTGCTGAGTGACTGATTGCAAAGCGAGGCAAGTAACACACGGAGCATGCCAGAGCGTACAAAAGGACTCTTCTGGTGTTCAGAGAAGGCTTCCTGGAGGAGGTGTCCCCTAGACTGACATCAGCAAGTGACCTGGATTCAAATCTCCATCTGTCACTTACTAGTTGATATAGTCTGGGCAATCATTTAACCTCTCTAGGCTTCTGTTTCCACAATTGAAACATAGAATTTCTAACATTTCCCTCTTGTATTTATACAGTTTAAATAAAATGATGTTCCTGGTGTCTGGCCCACAGAGAATCCTTCTTAGACTGCCAGTCACTCTTATGTTTTTTGTTTCAGGTCAAGCTCCTGGTTTCTCCGGCCTGGGGTTGGTGTCCTCAACACCAGTGCTCAGGGTGGGTCAGACACTGTTGATCTCTGCCAGTTCAAACCTGTGTAGACAGGCTCGGAAAACATATGCTGGGGAGGATGAGAACAAAGGCTTCAGGCAACAGTAAATGTTAATTAAGTCCCCAGGGCCAACCCCAGGAAAGTCTCCATCTCCTCTGCCTTGGCCCCTTCCTTGGGGTCCCTCAATTACCCTGAGACTTTACTGGAGTCAACCTAGTCAAAGGGATGGCTAGGGTAGGGAGACAGTGGGAGTCATCCCTCGGGATATCCTGGGGAGAACCAAAGACACTGGGCTCTGAGGGGGCTGCATACAGCAAAATGAGCTCCTTGAACTTAGGCTGTCTCTTCCCCAGTCCTACACCAGGAGGGCTGTAGGACAGGCATTGGTGGTTCTTAAATTATCCTGCACATTAGAATCATCTGGGGGAAATTAACCCCCCCAAATACCCAGCTGCTGCCCCCCAAACCAACAAAATCAGAACCTTTCGGGTGGAACCTGGCATCAGCACTCTAACCCCCTAGGTGGTTCCATGTGCAGCCAATGTTGAGAACCAGTGGGCTCTGAACATCTTTCCAGCAGTGACAATAGAAGCTGCTTCCTAGCTATGTGAACTCAGAGAAATGACTTTAAAGCACCATCCATCCTCTTCCTCATCAGCAAAGAAAGAGTAAGAACAATTCATCCCTCATGGAGGTATCATGAGGATTAAAAGGATGGATTTCTCTAGAGTGCTGATTACGGGGACTGCACACCGTGGAAGGACTCCAGCAAGGGAGTCGGAGGTTGCTATTGCTGCCCTTTTTATCGCTCTTATTGTGATCATGGAAAAGGAGGAGGAAGGAGAAGAGATGGGGGCAGGGGAGAGGGAAGAAGAAACTCTGCGTTAGGTCCTGAACTCTGTCCATCTCCCCACCACGGCCATGACCTTCCCCTCAGTCGCAGCAGTAGAAGTAGGGCAAATTCAACTCTCACATACTGAAGAACCCAGGGGGCAGGTGTGCACTGGCATTTGGGAGTGCTCCATTGGTGGAAAAGTGGGTGAGTAAACCCTCTCTCCTTAGAGGGGCCGTAGTGTTGCACTGTCTACACTGCCCAGTATCTTTGGGGAGGTGCTAGAAAGCATCTTAGACATTACCTAGTTTTAGCTTCTTCTCATTTAAGCAATGAAGACTCTGAGTCACAGAGAGGTTAAGTAATTTACTCAAGGAAACACAGCCTTGCACCAAGCCAGGTCTCAAGTCTAGGTTTTTAAACAAAAAAAAACAAAAAATTTCAGTCTCAAAGTCATTAAAAAAAAAAAAAACTAATAATACTCTGCAGCCTCCTCTCAGAGGACAAAATCCATCAGCATTAATCAGTCTTTCCTACTTTGGCAGGGATGCCTTATCTCTTCCTTCTAAGGAGACACAGTGCCTGCAGCCGAAAGAGCAATTGTGATAATTAATTATAATATTTTGCACTTGGAATTTTCCCCTGGCAGCAGCTGCTCTAAAAGCATCTCCTCATTCAGCCACACATATCAGCAATCGATCAGTCCACAGGAGCTCCTGAAGCCTCTGCTGCCGGCTCCACAGCCCTGCGCGGGGTCCTGGGAGGGACCCAGTCTCATGGGAACTGTTGCCAGCACTAGACGAGCTTGTGGGGAGGGGGGGCGGTGCAAAAGTGAACCAGACTAGAGGCTGTCACTAAGAAAGGCATCCGGCCTCTGCAACATCATTTGCCTCGGCACAGTAATAAAAGTCAGGTATTACAGGAGCTTCCATTTGATTTACTGTTGTGTTTTCTTCATCTGGAACCACACCTGAAGTTCGTTGGCCAAGGGTAACTAGCATCCACTCCACCAGGAGGGTTAAATGAGTTAAAACCTGTACAGCACAAGGCCATGCAGATAGTAAGCACCCTGTAAATGCTAGCCTTTGTTGTTGTTAACTGTATGCCTTGATGTCCGCAGCAGCAAGGATCCCACCAGAAACACGTGGAGTGCCCAAAAGTTTTACCAGGAAGGCAGCACAATAAAGAGACTATATTTGAGGTGTGGGCAGGGTTAAGGGAAGCCATAAAGGATAGTGACTAACATTCTGGCAATCGCAGAAAACTGTTACCATTGAAGAACAAGACCTTAAGGCCCCAGGGAGGGACAAGCTGCTGGTGAGAGCTGGAGACACAAAAGAGGGAACTCCATAGGGGCTGTGGCCACTGCAAGACCCACCGGAGCCAGGCAGGTAGGAGTGAGGAGGAAAAAGGCCCCAATCTTTCTTGCTTCCTTCCAGTCTCTTCTTGGTACCTCCTACTGGAAGCCAAAGCCAAGGACAGATGATAGATGGGGTTTGCAGAGGCTGGCCTCTGGGGACACAGAGCAGATCAGAGAACAGCAGATGATGAATCTAGCAAGGGGCGGGAAAGGCAGGGAGGGAGAGACAGTTAAGCACAACCAATAATTCAATATAGCTGCGATGCTTTGGTGTGAATATGCAATCTTCCATGCCTGTCATTGGCCCTGGAATGTTGCAGTTGCGTTCTTACATGCCCTCCACACTCAGTTCTTTCCTCAACATTTTAATTCTTCTGGAGAATGTAGTATACCTGTTCCTTGTTCTAGAATTCTGGCCATGACCTTGGGCCAAAAGTTCTAAAGCTTTGAAAAGGTAGACCCTAGGAAATAGGTGTTAAACTGAGGGAAAAGATAACACCCATATCTAAGCAGCCAAGGAGAGTGTCCCGAAAGCTAGGCGGGTTCATACCCTGCTTTCCTGGAACTCCTCTCACAACTCTAACCTCTCCTCTCCAGGAAGGGAGCCTCTATGCTGGGCTTACTTCCCACTTGCTCAGTAACATAAAGGTTTCTTACCCTTGGGCTCTGCAGTTGGACAACTAACGTCTGGCTCTCAGCTGTCCACACTCAGGGGCTCTGTGCATTTTGGCGAGTCACTCAGCCCCATCTGAAAACGGAGATAATAATTGTCCTAACCTCATAGAGGCGTTGTGAAACTCAATGAGACCATGAACATAAAGCACTCAGCATAACGTCTGGTACATAGCAGGTGCTCAATAAACATTGGTTCTCATTACACCCCATAGATTGTTAGTTCCCTGAGGTCAGAGGTCATGACTTTTCAACTCTGGACCTCAGTATGAAGGACAGTGCTTGACACATGCCTAGTAATAATTGTACAAAATAGGACAACCATTCCTATTTCCCCAGCGAGGACCTTGAGGCTCATGGATTTGCATTGCTCAAGGCCACAGAGTTATGAGAACCAGAGCTAGGATTTAAACCCACATGGTTCTGGCTCCAAAGCTGCATCTTCTACATGGGTGGTTCTCAAATTTTAGCAAGCATCAGAGTCACCTGGGGAACTTGTTAAAACATCTCCCATGTTTCTGATTCAGCAGATCTGAGGGCCCAAGAGTCTGTATTTCTAACAGTTTTCCAGGTGACATGGATGGAGCTGGTCTGGAGACCACACTTTGAGAACTCCTGGGCTATACTCTCAGCCTCCTGGTCAGTGTCCATCTCCTCTGTGAACCCACCTCGGACTTCATCAGTCTCCCACCAAACACCTGCACGATCCAGTTCCAGCGCAAGCCCGTCATCCTATCTCACTTTCCAGGTGGGGTCCTAAAGGTCATCTGAGCTTTCCCACAGCACTGGCAGCTCCTAGTGGTCAAGAGCCCTGCACAGCATTGCCCCACACCCCATTAAAGACCACCTATCATCTTTCCTTCCCTTCTCCACCCTCCCCCTTGGGGCAGTCTTGGTGTAGCCACTTCCATGCCTATCTGTATTCACACAAACATAGACACATAGGTAGCTTTTTCCCTTTTTAAACAAAAATAAAGTTATACTGTACAATTTCTCTATCACTTCCTTCCTTATTTCATTCCTTCCCTCCTTATTTCTTTCTTTCCTTCCTTCCTTTTTTGCTTCCTTCCCTCCCTCCCTCCCTCCTTCCTTCCTTCTTTCCTTCAAGTTTTACCCTTCTGGAAGACAATTTCTTCCCCACTCTTTTTTGAGATGGAGTCTCTCTTTGTTACCCAGGCTGGAGTGCAGTGGTGCAGTCGGCTCACTGCAGCCTCTGCCTCCCAGATTCAAATGATTCTCCTGCCTCAGCCTCCCTAGTAGCTGGAATTACAGGCATGAGCCACCATACCTGGCTAACTTTTGTATTTTTAGTAGAGATGAGGTTTCACCATATTGGCCAGGCTGGTCTCGAAGTCCTGGCCTCACGTGATCAGCCCACCTCAGTGTCCTAAAGTGATGGGATTACAGGTATGAGCCAGCATGCCAGCCTCTTCCCCACTCCTGACAAGTCTTCCAGGAGCAGAGCTATCTTGACTCTGTGGATTGTCCCACCTCCCCCCAAACATGCCCTCCCCTCTGAGTGACCTATCTCATTGGTGAGTCTGGGCTAAGGAACTGAGTGGCAGTGGCCCAGCCCCTTCCTCCCCATTGTCTCTTGGGTGTGAGCTGCCTACGGGGAGCCAGGTTCTGCTTGGCTCTTCCAGTCCCTGCCACAGCCCAGTGCTGCCTACACTCAAGTGGGCGAGTCTGCCTATTCTGAGTACAACATAAGGCAACCCACTTCCCCACAGAGCGCCATCTCTCCCAGAGCAGCTTTATCTTTAGTGAAGGTGATATTTGGGGCTCCATCTGCCTTTCTTTGGTGCTTATTTCTCAGTTGGTTCAGAATGTGGGTGGTGAAAGAGGGTTATTGTTTATCAGCACTTACAATATATCACATACCTAAAGACCTGGCTCATTTTAAGCCACTGATTCTGTTGGGATGCTTTTGGTGGCACACAACAGACGGTCCAACTAAAAGTAGCTTGGACAATAAGGGGGCGGTTCTCTGACATGGTAAAAATTCCGTGGGCAGATCTCGCCACCCACCTCCTGATCTTGCATTCATTTCCTTTCTCAACTCATGGCCCAGCTCTGGGTCAACTTTCCCATCACTATGCCTGCTGTAACAGGAGAAAGGGGACAGGCGAAGGTGCCACACTGGGGCTAATGTCTGCTGTGCTACGTCACATCTGTGGGTTTAGATAGGAACTTGGTCCTTGACCAAGTGATCTAAACTCT